TGGCACAATTGTTACAGTCGGACCCAATGCAAGTTTGTGTTCATGTGTGCATGTATTTACCCCACAAGGACCCTTTCGCTGCCAAGGCCTGTTTTTCATTTTTTGCACACATGATATAATCCACATTTTAGTCCTGAAAATTACTTCAAACTCCTAAAACATTATATGTTTTCTGAAAGCCAATACCTTGTAGAATAAAATGGTAGCAGTTGCAAATTTTTATGCTGCACGATATTGGTGCAACTCTTTATCAAACCCAAAACTTTAGTGAAAAACACACTAGAACACCCGTTTGTGAATAAAATATAACAGATGAGGTTACGACAAGTAAATAGATACCTGACATGCCCAGGTTAAAAATTGTGTGAAACGGCCACAAAATTCAGTACCCCCAAAAAGTTCATAGAAAAGACACATTAAAAGCCCCCACGGGTCATCAGTTTAAAAAATGTGTGTAAATATTGGCCCTCGAATTATTGCCCTCACTTCGTGCGTGGCGATACCAAACGTGTAGTGCGATCAACGTTTTCCTACATAGGCACACCGAGTGCGTGAATGCGTGTGCGCTCGTGGGGGCTTTAAAAAAGCTAAAAAGTTTTTTCATTCTTTTTACATTTATTTTATGCTATATTATTTTTTAACACTGTTTTTTTTTTTAACTTTACTTTAATTGCTATCACATAGGGGGGCTTACAAGCCCATGTGATAGCATATTAGCAGTGACAAGGCCACTTTAAGGTGATACTGGGGGTCCAAAAGACCCCTAGTGTCACCTTTTCACTTTAAATAAGCCACTGAAGAGCAGATTGCACTTCAAAAGCGTATTGCTCGGCTTCAGTAGCCCAGCAATGACAGCTCAGGGACCGGAAGTGATGCAATCTTCATTGTTCCCATAGAGCGGGGAGGAGATTGGTGAGCGCAAGTCCGCTGCTCTCCTCCCCAGCTTCCAACCGGCACCCGACATGCTGGTCCCGGGCCCGCAGGAGGGGCAGCAGAGCCCGGGAAACAGGGCGGAGGTGTCGGGCACTTTACCGGCTCATAGAAGTGATCTGACCGGAGCTGAGCAACCAGAATCGCTTTTATTGTAAAGCTGGCTTTACAAGTCCCTGTGTTATAGCGTTTGGAGGTGACAGGCTCTCTTTATGGAGCTTGTCAACCAATAAGGGAGATCGAGCACAGCATTGTGCTGGATTCTTCTCTACAGCTCCATATATGACAGCTAAGACAGGAAGGATTTCTCACTGATCACAGAGCAGATCGGAGAACGGACGTTCTCCAGTCTGCTCCCTGCTCTTCATTCTGAAATCATTGCCTGGGTGGGATGGGGGCAAAAACAAACAGCCTGCTATACAAGTGTTCTGGGTGGCAGTACAATAACCCAGATCACTTGTATATAACGAGCGGCAGCTTCCCCTGCTCTAAATTGCCTGAAGCAGGGCTAAATATAGAAAACAAATACACCCTTTAATACAATGTGCATTAAAGGGTAAGTTCATTTTCCCAGGTAATATGAAAAAAATAAAAAATGACCCGATGAAATCTGGCCCTGTCTCTCCCAAACCGCCACCCCCCTGGCTATGTCCTGGGCATCAGGCGGAAGAAATTTAATGAAGAATAGAGGTGTGCTGGTGACCTACTTTCTCAAATGATGTGGTGCCATCCACAGGCCACTGCAGCACACTACAAAACAGAGTAAATGGGATATATATTCTGAAGTATTTTTCTGGCCCCCAGAAGTGTCACGCTGCTGATCGATTTTTATTAGGGCTGGTAATGATTCAAATTTTCGTGTTCGATTAATCAAAATGTTTTTTAATCAATGAATTTTGATTAATTATAACGCACATACAGATCCAACTACATTGGCCTATAGACATACAGCACAGCAACGAAGTAATAAAATGAACTAGGATCACACTAATCACACTAATCCAGCACGTTATTAATCTCACGTGCCCCACTCAATATGGCCGCCGCTTGGGTGGGGCAACTCAGAATAATAACGTGCTGGATTAGCGTGATCCTAGTTAATTTTTTTACTTCATTGCTGTGCTGTATGTGTATAGGCCAATTCCTTGGCTGGCGCTCGTGCAGAAAGTTTCTTGGGCAAACCCACCGGCCCAAGTGGCTCCGTCGGCTAACGAAGGGGGGAGGAGTCCGGTGAGGTCACGGACATCAACACCACCGGACTCCACCCCCCTTCCCTTCGTTAGCCATCACGGACATTGAGGTCATCAGACTCCTCCCCCCTTCCCTTCATTAGACGACGGAGCCACTTGGGGAAGGAGTCCAGTGACGTCGATGTGCGTGACGTCACCGGATCGCCGACGGGACTCCAGGAAGCCGCCGGAGAGGTGAGTGTTTTCATTAGCGATCAAAATAATTGTAATCGATCAAAAAGTTTAACGATTAAATTGAGAAATGAATCTTTAATTTCCACAGCCCTAATTTTTATATTATTTTTCAGGGAAGGTGAAAATGTAATTTAGACACTTACCAGAGTTGAAGTTGAAAAACACACAACAGGAGACAGATTGCACTTAAGTTTTACTAAGAATGACCAAACCAGAAGCACTCACTTTTCTTTGACTGGTCTTTTTCAGATTTCTTTTTGTCAGCCTTGGGCTTTGGGGTCACACTTGCTCCCTCTACCGAACCCTTTCGATTTTTTTTTTCCTTTTTGTCCGCCTTTGCCTTTTTGACAGGTGTGTGCGTCTGGTTTTTGAGGTCACCTTCAGAGATCTTGCGTTTCTTGCTGCTCTTTGACTTCTTATCAGACAGGGGTGGGAGCTCTATTGTTGGCAGGGCGCTCTCGTCATCTCCTGAGGTTGGACTCTCAGGGATCCATGTAGAGGACAAGAGGGACAGAGGTAGAAGACTCTTCTTGGGTACATTTGTATTCTGTAATGGAGCTGTAGCAACATTGGCTACTTCGGTTTCAGCTGCTTTCTTTGATGCCTTTTTCTTCGGTGTTTTCTTTGGGCTCCTTCCCTCCAATAGTGCCAAAACCGTTTCTTCTTCGGATTCAAGCAAGGCTGCAAGATTAAGGGCAAATAGGGAGTGAAGAGTACAAACAGAGAAGGCTGAGGAGAAATCTATTAAATACACCAAACATCATTGAAAGGAGACGGTCATTAAAGCTGAACTCCAGGAAGATCTAAAATACAAATTAGTGCAGCTCTGTATTCATTAATAAATCATTAAATGCAGATTTTAATGCACTTCAAGTACTTGAATTTGACCTGTTATCCGCATCTTGCAATTCCCTGCACAACAGAGCTCAGAGTGGGAGTGACAGCACAAGGAGCCAATCATGTGCCAAAAAGAAACATACTGTTAGGAGGACAGAGAGATGAGCCCATCAGTGTGTTGCTTCACCGTTAACTACTCTGTTACAGGATGGGAAGAGACAAGACCTAAAAAGTTCCTAAGTGCACTGCAGCAGGGGAAAAAAAAATATGTCTCCTGCCCTGCCAGACAGGGTTGTGTTGTGTAGCAGGACTGTGTGAAGCTAAGAACTGGATGGACAGAAAGACAAATCCTTTCATAGGTAAAATAGCTCCTTTATATGTAGTTCATTTTTTTTTTTTAGCGGTTTACCAGGAGTTCAGCTTTAAAATAAAATGCTGCAAGTACTAAGTGAAAACACCCAGAGTTACCTGCACATACCTGCAGCAGCCTCTAAAACCCTGCCCTCATGGCTAAAACCCCAGCCTATTATTGTTGGCCATTGAAGCAATTTATTATAGTGATGTGCCAACAGGAATGTATAGTGTATAGGGACATTGAAAAAAAATGCAGCACCCACAACGCTGCATTAAAAAAAAAAAGATCACATTTATACAGCACACAGATGTGCTATACAAATGTGCAATGATGTCTGGTGGCTTTGGGAAATTTAAAAAAATAAATAAATCCGAGCCAGGAGAGTCACGTGACCAGGCCACTTCCAAATCATGGATCTCACACACAATGCTGCCAGTAATATATATGTCTTCTGCGTAAAGTATTTTTCAGCACATCCCAAAGATTTTTAATGGGGTTAAGGTCTGGACTTTGGTGAACAAGCCATGTGTGAAGCTGATGCTTCATGCTCCATGAACCTTTTCACAATTTAAGTCCTATGAATCCTGGAATTGTCATTGTGGAATATGCCTGTGCCATCAGGGAAGAAAAAATTAATTGACAGAAAAACCTTGTCATTGTGTATATGCAGGTAGGCAGCTGACCTCATTTTTGGCCACATAACGTTGCGGAACCTAGACCTGACAAACTTAAGCAACCCTAGACAGGCTTGGATGGTAGGCACAATGGATGCATCACCCATCACTCCATCCTCCTGGAACAGGGTAAATCTGGACTCATCAGACCACATGACCTTTTTTAAGATTTGATTTCACCAAGCATGTACATGATAACGATCAATCAAGATTTCTTTACAACCACATTTATTCCTCACAGATTATGGTTCACCACTACCCTTCCAGATTGTAAAAATGCGTTGGACAGTTAACCCAATGTTAGCAGTTTCAACAGTCTCCTTAGTTTTCTTTGCTTCATGCGGGCCAATAATTTGACCCTTCTGAAACAGAGTTACATCTTTTTCCACAACCACAGGATACGTCTTCTTGACATGGTTGTTTAAGAAATGAGAAGCTACAGTACTCAGTAGTGCATCAGAGTTAAATAACTTGTTTACACACACATATTACATATACATATATAAATAACACAACATTACAGATGACACCGCTATTACTCTAGAGAGCAGATACAGCCAATAGAGACCTATGAAAACCAAGATGCTTCTGGGTGATTTGGCACACTGAAATATCAGATATCCACTATTAAACAAATACAAAATTCTCCTTCACTTACCACCTTTTGATGCTGGTGGAAGAGGTTCTATCGTTGGTGGCTCTGGTATTGTATCAGGCTTGACTTTGTTTTTCTTTGTTTTGTTAGAGACTGGATCCAATAGGCTCGCCTTTTCTGAGGCTCTACGCCGTCTTTTTGGAGAGGTTATCGTAGGAGGTGTAATTTTGAGGAGAGGCTTTAAAAAGAAAAAGCCCAATTAACTACATTTACTCACTAAATACTCCTTTGTGAACATACATGGCAGTGAGGAAGCATGTTATTACTGAATTATTTGTTACCTGAGAATCCTCTGGCTTGCGGCCACCTGATTGTGTTGGAGAAACTGCTGACTTCTTCTTTCCATCTATTCCAAAGACAAAAAAAAAAAAAAGAAGTGTATGACACTGGATCAATATTTCAAATAGTAAAACTTTTTATTTTTACATAAGTTAAAGAAAATTGTTGAATTTGTAATCAGTGGCCTTCTGAACCAGAGACAAAATGAGAAAAGGTGTGTAGGGGTGGGGGGTTTCTTACCGATGCTTGACATTTTGCCAACAAGCTTCTGGCTCGATGCGAGACTTCTAGTTGCATCACCTTTACCCTGCAATACAAGAAATGTTTCAGTTCTCTGACCTTTCCAGGGCCTGTTCTCCGCACTCAAACTTTGAGCTCACAGATTGATTAGTCATGAGAAAAAACAGAAATATGGAGCTAGATATTCTTAAGCTTAGCAAAACCTGTTGTAGTACGCTTGTAGCTAGTAAATGAGGAAACCTACAAAACAAACAAGCCAAGAATAACATGCAGGCACCTTGAGCATGTACCTGGAGCAGCTCTCAATGTCCTCTTCTATGGCTAAATTCTGGACCATTTCATATTGGCAAAGCTCTGGTGTTTTCTGTTCATGATGGAGCTTGCTGACCCCCATCTGCCTCACACACTTGCATTGGCCAACATTGCAGTTCAGCATAGTAATAGGCCAATAGGAATGTATGGAAGCAGACAAGCTCTGACACTACCAGGGAGCGGTGAAGCTTTTCCCACATGGAACAGCTTGGTATTTGTACATAGCCTAGAGCAATGAGAGCTGCTGCCACCAATGCCTGGGAGGAGAGGGGTATAGCCAATAGCGGTGCAAGCAATTATAATTATCTAACCTCTTGATTAGCAGGATCTATACATCATAAGTCCCATGTGTCCCTTTCCCCAATGAGCAACAAAAGAATATTGGCTGCCCACGTTATAAGATGATAGTCATAGTGTAAAGTGGTAGCATGCTTAGTGGGATTGCATGGCAAGTATCAAAGTCCAAATAAAAATAAAGAAGCCAAATTGAAAAAAATCTCCACTTCTCTTAGTGAGCCACATGGAATTAGCAGCGACGTCACCAGGACATGCTGCAGCTTAGCCCTGGCAACCGAACTGAGACATGCAGAGGAGAGGGAGAGCGATAGTATGAACTGCAAAAATAAGATGCATTTTATTTCTGCAAGTAAAACTAATGAAAAGATTGCATACAGTTTGTGTGCCCAACCTACATGCCTAGGGAGAGTATAAAGGGAGTATTTAGCGAAGCAAGAGCATTACATGTATACCATACAAACAGATAGAAAACGTATATAAATCTTTTCATATAGTACTCTGCGGGCCCTCAGCTCAACACAAACTGCAAGTGCTCCATCTCTGAGCCACTGTGTTACATAGTTAAATAGTATTTGAGGTTGACTAAAGACACATGTCTATCAAGTTCAACCTATTGTGTGTATGTGTATGGTCCTACTGATGTGTGCGTATGTATAGGTCCCTGTTTGTTCTCATTCTTAAGAGTACTTGTATCCCTGTATATTACGGTCTCTGAGGAAATCGTCCAATCGCCTCTTGAATGATGCCACACTCGCTGCCGCATGCCGTGATTTCGGCTGAGAGTTCCAGACCCTGACTGATCTAACTGCAAAGAAACCCCTTCACCCCTTGTGCGGAAATTTTTTCTCCACTAATTTTAGGTGGTGGCCTCTCGTCCTTGTCATGGGGTTAATTGTAAAGAGATTGCTGCTAATGTTACTATCCCCGGTAAACATTTTGTACATGAAAATCATGTCCCCCCCTTAATCTCCTTACTTCCAATGAGAGCATGTTTAAATTTAGTAGCCTGTTCTCATAGCTCAGGTCCTCTATCCCCTTTACAAGTTTGGTCGCCCTCCTCTGGACTCTTTCCAGTTCAAGGACATCCTTTCTGTTCACTGGTGCCCAAAACTGGACCGCATACACTAGATGAGGCCAAACCAGTGATCTATAAAGTGGCACAATTATAGACTTGTCCCTGCTAAACATTCCCCTCTTAATACAGGACAGGACCCTACTTGCTTTGCTTACCGCAGTCTGACACTGCAAGCTATTATTCAGTCTGTGGTCTACAATGACCCCCAAATCCGTTTCCCTTTCGGACTTCCCCAGCGGAGTTCCTGTTATTGTGTAATTCGCTTTCTTATTTTTAACCCCAAAGTGCACAACCTTACATTTATCGACATTAAACCTCATCTGCCATGTGGTTGCCGACTCCCCTATTTGATCCAGATCCCCCTGTAATGTTATAGTGTCTGATTCAGTGTCTATTACCCTCCTGATTTTGGTATCATCAGTAAACAGTGAAACATGGCTGTTTACGCCCTCCCCAATATCGTTAAAGAAAAGGTTAAACAGCATGGGGCCCAGTACAGAACCCTGTGGCACGCCACTCATGACCCTAGCCCAATCCGAGAAGGTGCCATTTATCGATACTCTTTGTACTGGTTCCTGTAGCCAGTTTTCTATCCATGTACACACTATTTTGTCTATGCCCATAGACCTCAGCTTGTGTAGTAAACGTGTATGTGGTACTGTGTCAAATGCCTTAGCAAAGTCCAAATCTACCATATATACCAATATATCCACTGGTCTCCCTCCATCCAGATCTCTACTTACCCCTTTATTACCATAACATGGCACAGAGTTAACATACCTGAGCAGGCAAGTCATCTCCACTGTCTGAAGAAGTTTCATCAGAGCTGTCATCAGGTTTAGTCACAACAGGGCTCTTAGCTGGTGATGGGGACTTCAGTTTTGTATGCCTGATTGTTAGCTCAGTTTGCTTCTGTGTTTTTCCAGCACTGGCTGTTACCTTTTCATAAAAATAATGTTAATGCCAGAGTTAACCATAAGATTATGGACCATTTAGAACAACCAAAGTGATGGTAAACATACAAGGATCCTTTTAAGGGTCAGTACTGAGACCGAATCACCTGCTGGATTCCTATACCCTTCAGTGGGCAAATTTCCAAACAGAAAGAGGGCATTCTGAGGCTGCTTAAAGCAAAATGTAATTCCAGTACCCTTTCATCTCTTTATCCCTTAAAGAATACCTTTTTATCTCCTTCGTGAAAATGCTATTTCTTGCCCTCCAATCCAGAGTACTATGCTGGCAGCGCCGAGTAGCAGCCACCCCACTCTGAATTTGACTTGATATCAATCGCTTGCAGTCCCGTACAACATGGTTCAGACTGGTGGAGGGAGAGCCAGTCAGGTATGCTGCAGTGCTAATATGCTCACCAGAGGTAGAGTTACAATGCGCTCATTAATTTTCTGTTTCTTCTATCCCTGTCCAGTCACAGTGAAGGACATGCCCTGTAAGTGTTACCTAACTGCAGCAGAGAAAAATTAGGTCCCCTGCCAGGCAGAGCTATGCTGTGAGACAGAGCTGCGTAAATCACTGGACTGGATGACAGATCTACAAATCATTTGGCAGGTGAAACTCCCCTATATGTATTTCACCTGTGCATGTAGCTTTTTGTCTCAAGTTCAGCTTTCAGTCTCTGTACATTTTATATTATGAGGAACACAGTAGCAACAGGAAGTGACTTTAACAGCCTCAGTGTGTCATGAACCAGCAAGAAAATGCAGGCGAGGGACTCTATGGGTGCACTTATGAGACAAGACAAACTGGCGGATTTTCAGCTTTAGACATCAGTTCTTGTGGGCTGCTTACATAAAAGAAAAGCTAGGGAGGAAATGTACCCTTTCTGTACCTTTTTTAAAGACTCCTCTTCATCAGAGTCACTCTCCTCCGAACTGCTCTCTTGCTTCTTCTGTAACATTGTAGTTGGCGTTGTAGTCTTCCCAACACTAGACTGTGACAGGTTTTTTTTAGTTGCTGCAGGAGACTGGAGAGGAAACAGCACAGACCTATGACCTCAGAAATAAACTTACAGAACCTGAAGTTCTCAGGTTGTTATGGAATCACAGGTATGTGCCCGCCTTGCTAGAATTTGATATTGAAATACATTATGTTGAGGAATACATTGCGCTGACCATCAAAAAGCTAGTTGGCAGTCATTTCAATTCTCAAGCTCTAATATTTTCAAAATCACTGACCAAGAACAAATAGAGACCAGGAGTTCCTGCTTCACTTGTGGCATAGATGTGCAAGGGGAATTGGAAGCACTTAAGAGGATCAATATGACAAGCAGACAGTATTTCAAGAAGAAGGTCACCAATGATGGTCTAAGCATTTATCTCAAGATATGTTTCCTTTAAGTCCTACTTCCACCACAGTCACACTTACTTTTTCCTAAGTAAATGCTAACCTTAATGTCTGCTATTTCACTTTTAGGTAGATGGCAATGAGCTGAATTACCAGCTGGTGATGTTCTGGGTTCTACTAGGCAACTAAAAAGCCAAACAAGATGACACACACCTTCATCTGCATTCTCTGTGATGTAAAATAAAGAAAAATGCATGGGAAATGGGCAAGACCTCTCATATTGACCACAACAGGTGCATTGTATGGGTATGTATACTCAGCACCAGGCCTCAATATCACCAGTCACAAAGCCATATGAAGAGATGATGCATGGTATATCCTGCTAGCACCTACCCAGAAATAAATCACTTGTGGGGAAAATAATAATTCCATTTTTCATCAGCAGGGCCATCTGCTGGTAAAATGTAGTATTGCAGCCAAAGCAGTACAAGAGCAGAATGGTCCTGGTGCCATTGCAAAAACTAAAAATATTTCAGTTTTATTTGAAAATATAACACCCTCGGCAGCCAGTTTAAACTTTCATTTATCTGAAGAAAGAACATCTGTGGATTGGATGCCAGGTACTAAATAGACTGCATTTAAACAAGCTCTTAAAACCCAACCTCCAAAAAAAACAAAACAAAAACCCCATTCAGCTCCAAAACCCCACTGTACCTTTATAGCAGGCTCCTCATCACTCTCTGAAGAGCTGCTTGAGATGTTAGCAGTGGCAGGCTTCTGGACCGCTGGACTTTGGGTCAGACTTCTGGTCTTTCCCTTCACTTCTTTAGCTGGCAGTGGAGAACTCACCAGATGTTCTGCTGCCTTTGGAGTGCCTTTATTTGGTACCTTTTAATTGTCACAAAAATGAAAAGAAAATTAATCCTTGATCATCCTCGTGGGAATTTATCAAAACTGGAGCAGACAAAATCTGGAGCAGCTGCGCATGGCAACCAATCAGCTTCTCTCTTTCATTTTCACAGCTTCACTTAAACTGGAGAGACTCTGATTGGTTGCCATGAGCAACTGCTTCAGATTTTGTCTGCTCCAGTTTTGATAAATTCCCCTTGTTGTTTCTACAAAATTTGTTTCATTTTTAAAGCCATCCAGGTGAATAGACTCAATTGTAAATCAAACCTGTCAATTGTAACCTTTAATTGAAGAATGGGTGCCACCACCTGCTGATTTGCGCACTCAAGGCATTGCTGTAGAATGCCCCAGGAGCTGCCAAACCGACAGGTTGACTATGCTGGCTTTCAGAAAATTGGAGCTAAAGAATGTCCCAATGACAGCCACAAATCAATGCTGGGCCTATGAAGAGCAAATATAGCATTGTGGGACTGCTGAACTTTCTGAACGTCGTAATTCACCTTGTTAATGTCAGACTAGCACCAGATAAGAGTCTGATTAGTTGCTGTGGGTTAATCCTTTAATATTCAATATGAACATAGAGGAAGTAAAAGTATTATAAAACCAAGTAACCAAACTCTCCAGATGTTCAGTACCTTCTCAGCTGTATCCTCGTCACTTTCTGAAGTGTCACTGGAACTTTCATCACGTGCCTGCAAGGGTGTTTTAGCCATGCTTGTACAATTAGTCTTGCCAGGTAGAGGATTAGGAGATAGTGGAGTCTTTACCACCTTGCCAGTCTGGTGTCCTTGTTTCACCTTTACAGTGGCAGGAGTAGCTACCTTCTATCCCACAAACACAAAAAGAAACAAAATAAAATGGGGATCACTTGTGGTGGGAAAACCAACTTGACATTTTATTTTGATATAATGGACAAGTGCTGAATACCCTGTCAGGTTGTTATTGCTGTGTCCCTCCTTGTTTGTCCTAGTGACTACTGACAGAACAGGAGGGGAAATCCGAAATGTTACCATTGTAACCAGAACAGCAATAGAGGAGAAATCTTACTAATATAGGGTTTCCCCTCATGTCCTGTTGTGTCTCTGGGACAGGAACCAAAGGAAAACCTCCCCACAGAGCTGCAGGCAGCAAAAAAACCACAGAGCTGCAGGCAGCAAAAAAACCACAGAGCTGCAGGCAGCAAAAAAAACCACAGGGCTGCAGGCAGCAAAAAAAGCCACAGAGCTGCAGGCAGCAAAAAAACAAAAGCTAACATTCTAACAATGTTTCCGTATGTTATTAAACAATAAGAACACCCAAAATGGATGTCTCACTTTTGGAAAGATGAGGGACATTAAATAGAGCTATTGGAGGTGAGATCTCTGCATCTAAATTTCTGCTTTAACCACCTTCTCCTGCAAAGCACAAGCTACACCCATATCATGTTAATTTTAATAAGGCTTTGGGGAATCAGGAAGAGATTTTTTTTCCTCTTAGAACAAACGGGAGCATGTTTTACAAGGGTTTCTGCCTTGTTCAATGGGTATGGTTCTTTCTAAATCCTGACTATCTGGTTGTAACAATTGTTATGCTGAGGGAATTATACCTTTGAAACAGTTTTCACCAAGAAATAAATCTTAATTTGTTGCAATTAACAACCACTTTATAAGGGTTTAATAAAAACACTTTACATAGGTTTTTGCCTATTTATTTTTGTCCTCCAGCTGAATACAATTGACGGGTTTCTTTTTTAACCTATGTAATCGTAACAATTGTGTCGATAAGAGAATTGCATCAAACAATAGTTTTTACTAAGAAAAAAAATAATTTGATTTTACATCTGTAAAACAATTTCTCTCAATTAAGGCTTCATTCACACTTGCCGCTTGCGTTTTAATGCAGAGATTGGTGTGCAAAATCTGTCGGGCTAATGCGTTTATGCTTCTAGATTCTTAAAATGATGCAAGTTTATGCCTGTTTACATGCATCTGTCCTTTGCCCATTGAAGCAGCCAATGAGATTTCAACAAATAAAACACGTCTTGTGTTTACATGTGTTTAGACATCAATTCCTGGATGCACCTGACTTCTATTTTTTCTAAATGCAGCTAAACTGAATGCAGATAAAAGCATCTAAACACACGTTGTGAATAAATCCACTTGAAATTAGTTTAATTAATATGCATTAAAAAAACTATTTTAAAACACATAAACCCATAAAAATGTGAATGTAGTCTGAAAGTTAATTTGTAATTATCTAATCTCTGATTGACCAATTGTTTATCAATATGTGTATGGTCAGCAGAGCTCCTACGTACACCAAGCTGCAGCTGGGAAGCCAGGGCTTAGTAAAAAAGGTACAAAATAGAGTAGGGAAGGATATGAGAAATCATCCCCAATACAATGCACTGACACTTTTGCCCCTGTTGAATTCAACAAGTCCATGAACTCAGTTGCAAGCCCATAGCTCTTTTATAAAAGCAGAGCATAAACTGATGCAAAGATTAAATGTATGGCTGAATAGCTACTTGAAGGTAAAGTTTGTTGTGAGATGAAACACCCCCTCAATTCTTGTATCTCTTGTGAATGCCCGTGGCAAGATCTCTCCTGATATGGCTGGCTTTATCTGCGGGGGTGTGGCCTGTCAGGGGGTGACGCCTGTCAGGGAACTCCACTTCCCAGCAGGCAACTGAGGAGGGAGCAGCCCCGGCAGGATACACGCCACGCTGTAGGACGTCCTGGCTTGAGCTGGACCCTGGAGGCACAGAGTTCGGGAGCACAGCTCACAGCACAGAGTGAGGAGAGCTGCAGCAGGTCCAGGTAGGCACTGATTGTTAATTGCTGTATATGTGCTGAATAGTGTCATTGTCTTGCACTGTAATTTTTTTTCCAACCAAAAATAATAAAATTATTTTATTATTTTTGGTTGGAAAAAAAATTACAGTGCAAGACAATGACACTACTCTGCACATTGCCTGCTCGGAATTGGAGTTCCCTGACAGGCCTCACCCCCTGACAGGCCACACCCCCGCAGCACTACATCTTCTATTCTTCACCAGGCAGCATGAGTAGCTGCGAGCGGCGGGCCTCCCCTTCTCTCTCGCCCCCCTCCGAACTGGTGGAACACCTGGTCCCGGTAGCAAGTGCGATCGCTGCGACCCTGGTAGTTCTGCCATTTAAAGTGTTATTAAACCCTCAGGTGTTGTTGCATATATGCACTGGCGGAACTACCAGGGTCGCAGCGGTCGCACTTGTGACCGGGACCTGGTGTTCCGCCAGTTCGGGGGGGCCCAGAGAGAAGAGGATGGCACAGATCAAAATGTGATTGGCCGCAGCGGCTCTGCAGCTTCAGAGCGGCCAGGAGGAGAGAAAGGGAGAGCAGACAGGTGTGATCAGAGCCGCCCCATTAAAGCTGCCTTTTTTCTAACCTTTTCCAATTTAAAAAAAATATTTTTTCTTTTATAAACTTTATTTTTTTATTTTTTTTATTGAATATTTTTTATTATTTTACTTTACTGTAGGGAGCTTCGGGGAGATAGCAGGGGCCTAAACAGGCCCCTGATATTTCCCTTTTAAAATAGAAAAAGAGATTGAGGACACAGAGCCGTCAATCTCTTTTTCTGTATCCCCTGTTATCAATGAACAGGAATCCTATGTACTGAGTGTTCCTGTTCAATCATAACATGAGGACATTGGAGTATGATTACTATAACCACAATCATGAATGAAGAGGAGGTGATGTAGATTACTTCCCATTCATTCATAATTGAGGATATAGTAACCATACTCTGTCCTCAATTATCTACACTCAGCGATCACTGATCAGTTGGGGGGGGGGGGCCTTTAATGGTTTCTTGCACCGGGGCCCTGAGGTTTCTAGTTACGCCTCTGCTTTAGACATCTACAATAGCCTATCTGAAACCAAGCCAAGGAGTCTTGCTTCATTGCCATGATGTCAAATAACATTAAAAATCGATCATTAAGGAACCCTCTCATAAAAGCAGAGGAAGGTGGAAGACATCTCTCAGATTTAAAAGTATTGCATTGATGAGACTCTAATGTACCATGACTGCGGATTCCTCCTCACTATCTGAAGAATCACTCGAGCTCTTGGGATCGGGTTGTTTCTGTTTTTGTAGGCTACTGGTGTTTGTTTTACCAGGCACAGGACTCCTCACACTAGGGGTCTTCATCTTTGCAGAGACTTTTGGCTGAACTGTTTTCACTGCAGTTGGTATGGAAGTATTAACCTATTAAAAACAGATAACTGTTAAAACAATTTAGAAGTAACCTTTAACCAAAACTGAAAAATCATAATGAACCTTTAACCAAAACTGAAAATTAAGGTTGACTTTCAAGACTCAAGATTGGGGTTACAAATTGCCTATACTGCCTTAGCATGCTGCAATAGATAAAGGCAAACAATCAATGTCTTAAATTCCATAAAGCATTCTCTTAAATCCAGGTTGTGTGATCAGCATATCCCCATATATTTTTCAGCACTGGGTAAGGAGGGAGGTGCTACTACAGGACTACACATTGCGGATGGGATGTAGGAGTTTTGTGTGGGTTCAAGTGGGTGTGTAACCATTGCTACCAATTGCATGCAACATCTGACAACACATCCTGTTGAGAACATGGGAGTCCATGACAGCTTGTCTTTTGACATGGTGTTCAGGAAGTACAAGGTGTAATGGAATATGGAACATGGGGAAACATGACTATTAGTTTCAATTCCTCATACAATGCTTCTTACAGAGACCAGAATGGACACAGAAGCCCCAGGTTCACATTCCTTTTACAGGTCAACGTGGTTTTTCAGGTATTTGCTGCTGAGCACCAATTCACCACACTCCTTTTTTGTTGGTAATTCAAGAACTGCTTTTGTTTACATATTCTTAATGAAGGGGAGCTATTCACAAATACACCCACTGCAGGTTGTTTGTATTCTACATGCAGAAAGCCTGATGAGCCAAAGTGTCTAATCCAGTGGTGGTCAACTTACTTGATATATGGGGCCTTAACTGTGGCCCATGACAGCACCAAAGAGCTGCATACAATATTCAGGGAATGTAATGCTACAGAAAGCTGTATGAACTATGAACATGCTATAAGGGATGGTCAAAGACTGCCAACATGTTACAGGAGATAGTTGGAGACTGGGGACAGTCAGACTAATAAAGATCACTTCTATTAGATACCCTTTTCAAATCAAAGCTTACATACAGAGATACAAAGATTAAATACAAAGATTTACAAAGATTAAATACAGTATGTGCTCCCTACAACCCCCTTAATTACACATGCCACATTTGTTATTTCTCAGCAAAATCCATTATAAAAGATCAGAAAAAAAAAAAAAGTTAAAACAAAACTTAAGGGATGGACAGCACAGAAAAACTAAGATAATGTGAAATGAAATAAAACAAATAATTTTACTACCAGAAGGGAGTCTAAAGAATGTTTGTCTTCACTGGCCCAAGTAAGCAACAAAACAGACAACTGTCTGCAGAGGCACCAAAGGCTGCACAATAAGTGCCAAAGGGCCACACATACAGAGTTTTCTATGTGCCCTGTTGACAACATAATGTTGGTGTGATGGGCAGTATGATACGGCAAAATACAACATCCTCTGCTGTGAGAGGACATGGAGTGTACGCATTGTACACTACCAATAAAATAAAAAAAAAAACCCCAAATGTAAACTATGCACTAGCCTGCCCATTGAAATGTAACATTTTAGCTCACAGACTAGTACGAGCAGGTCCTTACACTGAAGACATAGAAGTTTAGGCCCCATCAGTGACACAGCAAGCAGACAGAGAGGAAGTTACATAGTAGAGGCTTCAGGAAGCAGAATCACCTGTGTAAAGAGCTCAGGGAAATCTGACTGTCATAGAACTCAGATTATAGCAACTGATGCGAACATTCTGATATTAGTACATCTGCAGAGCTAGCTGGAAAGCATCAGATTTCTTTCATTTCCTATAAACTTGCTTTTAAAAAAGCACCAAAATTGTCCTTATTCTTACTGAAAAATGCAGAGCAGCAAGTCCCCCGAGGTACCTATGTTGGGTTTTCATTTAAAAAAAACTTCCAGTCACATTAGGGCTTGTTCACACCAGTTGTGTGCTGGGGCAAACCGGTGGACTCCTGGGTTTTCCCTAACCCTCAGGGAGTATATGGTGGACTGAGGTGATTTCCTGCTGGCCTTCCGTTTCAGTGGGGCCTCCGATTGGTACCGGTTATCTCCCAAGCCACGGCATTCAGTTGTACCATCTTATGTTTCATTTTGTTTTATTCTATTATTACAGCTTACTAATTACAATACTTGCTGCTCGGGGGCGGGAGCTGCCAACAGTGGTGATGTCTGTTGGCTCCTTCTTCCCTTAGCGAGCGCAGATTGGTTTCGCTCTCCTCCTGCCTGCTTTCTCTCGTAGTTGGGAGGGGTGCGGGGGAGGGGCAGCCATCCCGCAGAGTGAATTCCTGGCTCACTAGCGAAACCTTAAGATGAGTTTTTTTTTATATTGTCATTTGCTCCTGTTGGTTACGGGGGCTATTGTTGTACACAACTTCCAAGGTTAAGCCCTGGTAAGCATCTCACTACTTCCCTATTCGACCACTTCTCCCCACATAGGTGATACATCTCCTATAGGAGACTGTTGTATTCTAGAATTGGCTAGACGTTTATTTTCTAAGTAGCGGGTTTCTTTCGCCCTTTTGATGTTTTTTTCTTTCATCCTTCCTCCTCTTTCTTTCCTCCGTGTTTTTAGTTTCTTCTTCCTTCTCTTCTGTTTCTTGCTCTTTCTCTCTGCCACTTTGGTTTTGTCCTCAGTGTTAGTCTCTCTCTTTTCCCCTTTTTCTGTTCTTCCTGTTTCCTGCCATGGCTCCAACTGTGGTTACCCCGGCAGAGCTGCGACTCTGCACATATAATGCCAGAGGCCTGAATGTTCCCTCCAAAAAGGGGGCAGATTTTGTAACATATGCATAAAAACCAGGTGAATGTTATCCTGCTTCAGGAAACTCGCTTCCAAATGGATCATGTTCCCTGGTGTGTCAATCGGTACGTTACCAAATGGTACCATTGTACTAAAAGTATCCAAAAGTCAGGAGGGGTCTGTATTGCTCTCCACAAGTCTCTCCCAGCCACGGCATTGGACCACCTAGCAGCCGGTATCTACTGCTTACACGGTCACTCTAGGGTAGGTTTTGTACCCTAGCCAACTTCTATCTCTCCGACACTGATCAAGCTGCTACCACTATTAAGTTTTCAAAGGTCCTGGAGGACTTTGCAGAGGGTTCAGTGTTGGTGGGGACTTTAACCTCACTATAGATCCCAGCATGGATTTGCCCACTGGATGCTCTGCTCTGTCCTTTCCCAAACTCTGCACTATTAAAAAACACCTCTCTCACCTTCATATGGTAGATGGGTGGAGGGTTTTCCACCCTCAGACACTCATTTTTCTGCACTTCTTTGTTTCTCATTCCCTGCTGGATTGGGTCCCATCACGTGACATTGGCCCCTGGATCTGATCGGACCATGCCGTAGTTACGCTGTCCCCGCAGGCACCCACTAGGCAATGGACTTGGCGATTGAATGAGTCCTTACTTGCCGACCCACCCTGTTCCTCCACAATCCTGGAAGAGATTACCCAATTTCTTGAGGTTCATGCCTCGGATCCCACCCCCCTCCCTATTCAGTGGGAGGAAATGAAGGCAGTTCTAAGGGGGGTTTTTCATCCACCAGGGTTCCAAGCTAAAGAGAGAACGATTCCGAAATATTCAAGTGGCTATTCAATCCCTATCGGCTCTGGAAACCCAACATAAACACGCACCTTCTTCAGACTTCTTATTGTGTATCTCTCAGGCCAGAGTGAAGCTCTTGGGGCTCCTTGACTTATTGGTGCACAAGTATACAAACTGGCATTGAGGGCTTAAGAATCTTGTGATAAATGTGGGAGGACACTGGCTCGAACCTTGCATCCTAGGTCCACTCATATGTATGATCCACATATCAAATCCACATTTGGTACTCTTGTGAGCTCCCCTTCGGAGATTCAACGTACCTTTGTGGATTTCTATACTTCCCTTTACAATCTTCCACGATCGGACACGACTCCTTCGAATCATGAAGCAGGAGGTGTCAGCTTATGTCCAGGACACCGCCCTCCTGGTTCTGGAGGATCGGACACCGACGGGTAAGAGTCCGAGGCCTGATGGCTTTACGGTGAAATTTTATAACATGTTCCGTGACAAGCTCACCCCCTTCCTCCTCTGGGTATTCAACTCTATTGCTCTTGGTGCCTCTTTCCCGCCTCAGGCATTGGATGCTCATATCTCATTGATCTCTAAGCCAGATAAGGATCATTGTTAATGTGACTCAATGTTAATATGAAATTGTTCGCCAAATTGATTGCCAACCAGCTGAAGACACTTCTCCCGAAGGTGGTTCATCTGGACCAAGTGGGGTTAGTCCAAGGCCGGGAGGCACAAGATAACACTATTAGGACGCTTCTGTTGATGCACTATGCTAAAACGTCCAATACACCGATTTGCCTCTTGTCGGTGGAATGCAGACAAGGCATTCGACCGCCTAGATTGGAGTTTTCTCAAGCACGCATTGTTACAACTGGGAGTTCACCCTAATATGCTGAGAAACGTAATGGCTCTGTATTCTGGCACGTCGGCTAGGATCCACGTAAATGGCTCACTCGTCCAGTTTTCAGATCCCGAAAGGCACCGGCCAGGGTTGTCCACTAACCCCCCTCCTCTACATACTTACCACAGAGCATTTGGCAGTCGCTCTTCGACAGAATTCTGCCTTCCAAGGCTTGCCTGTAGGCCCCTACAGATCCAACCTCTCGTTGTTTGATGACAATTTACTGCTGTTATTCACCCCCATGTCGCCATGCCCACCATCTTACAAGAATTTCAGTGTTTTGGTTTTCTGAGTAACTTTCGGGTTAACCCAAGTCAGAGATTCTCAATGTGTCCATAGAGGATGGGGCCTTGCGTCAACTGGCTAGTAACTACTCCTTCCATCTTTGTCCCACCTCATTGAATTACTTGGGCATACAACTCCCAATGGATCAGGCAAATTTGCATTCCGTCAATTTTTGCCCTCTACTTGAGAGTTTAATTCAAGAGCTCGCCTCATAGGACCGCAAAATCATCTCCAGGCTGGGTCGGATTAACGTGCTTAAAAAGGACATGACTCCTAGGTTTCTTTACCTATTCCAGACATTGCCCATTGTCCTTCCCTCTCTATATCTGAAACAGGTCAAGCGGGCCTTTACGAAATTTGTGTGGGGTTCCTCCTGTGCCTGGCTCAGCTACAGGTTGCTGGCCATGCCAAAACGTAGGAGGGTGGGGGGCAAGTGCGCCAGACATTTTTTTTCTAACACACCTCGGCGGTGCTGGTGCGCATAGTGGACTGGTTCCACCGAGCCAATGATAAACAATGGAGGAGACTATTGCTGCTGGTGACCTGCTTGTGCTGCCCTGGATACCTCCTGGGTCCAGACTGGTGCCCTCCTCCCTCCCTTTTTTGACCACTGACACCTTGAAACTATAGGATCGTTATGCTGTCCATCATGGCATTTCTTCTCATGTGGACCCGATGACCCTTTTTCTTAGCAACCTAGCTTTCCCGCCTGCAATGTCTGGACATTCATTTGGCAGATGGACTAGACACTTTCATCGTCGTATGGTCACGGATCAGACTGCTTCAGTGGGGATCCCAAAGCCTGTAACTACTTTACAATGCACACAGGGACCACTGAGAACAAAAGTAGCCACCCTCCAAAAGGAAGGACAGTGTCAGCATGAATTCAGAGATGGTTTGAGGATCTACAGCTGAGTTATGCACAAATCAGGTTCAGTTTTAACAGTTAGGACACTTTAATGCAATTTTAAGATTAAACTCCTGAGTTTAGTGTCACAATAAACATAACATAAGCCCAAAACAATTTCACAAAGTACCGGCATGGTTTTTTCTTCATCACTCTCAGTATCACTACTCTCCGCAGCTAGCTTTTTCATTACTGGTGCAGGCACGGCACTTATTTCCTTAGAAGAAGTGGTGCCATATGGAGTAGAAGTCAATAAGGGAGCAGAAATTGGTTTTTTTTTCTGCTTTGCCTCAATTCTCAACTCAGGTTTCTGAAAGAAAGCAATTACTACAATTTCAATTCCGGTCAATAACATTTATGGTTAATAACAATTCCCGTCTCCTGTACATTGTACCTGTGCTCCAGTATGCTCTTCCTGACCATCTGATGATTCACTGCTATCTGATGTTTCTTGGTTTGCTGCTGCCAACTTTGTGCTTGGGACTGGCTTGGTGGGGCCGCCTGCCTTCTGCTTGGCCACAACTGCTGGATACACTGTGAATTTGGCTGCAGGTGGTGGGGTGGCTTTCAGTAATGCGCTAGTTATCTATAATGAAATGCATTTATGATATAAATCACCAAGAACAGCTACTCTTTGTGGCACAGCAAAAAAAAAAATGCTGGTTATACAGAAGAGGACCGAACAAAACTATAACAGGTTGTTGAAAATAAAGCGTGCAGCTGACAAGAAGAGACCATCTACCCATTCTTGAAAAATCATTGCATCCTTTCTAGAACACTGTGCTAGGTGCACGTAATGTTACGATTTCCCAGGGGAAAAAAAAAAAAAGAAGAAGAGGCAATATAAAAAGAAAAATCTGCTTAAAGCCAGAATAGTGGAAGGTAAGAAGGATGCTTATGCACCAATATGAGCTGCACTAAGACAGTCATAACAAACCAGTAAATTTAACCACACTTGATAAGCCAATGAAGGCCATGCAGGGCAAAGCAACAGGTCCACTTTAAATTTGGCCTCTGTAGTAATGACCTTATTTTTGCTTCCGTACTGCTCCATTCAGGTGCAGGACTCTTAACTGAGTACTGTGCACCCATGGTGGGGGAAGGTTATCATCAGAGTAGAAATTGGGTGTGAAACAATGCATTAAAAAGGAAGAATACTTTCAGAAATAAAAAAGTGGTAATAGTTTATATTTATATCAATTAACAAAATGGAAAGTAAATGAACAGAAAATAAATCCAAATCAAATCAATATTTGGTGTGACCACCCTTTGCCTTCTTCTAGGTACACTTGCACACGGTTTTTGAAGGAACTCGACAGGTAAGTTGTTCCAAACATCTTGGGAGAACTAACCAAAGATCTTCTGTGGATGTAGGCTGCCTCAAATCCTTCAGAAAGGATCTGCTTGTATTTCTCAGCATTGACGACACCATTGATCCTTACCAAATCTTCATCTCCATTGGAAGAAATGCAGCCCTAGACTTGCAAGAAACCTCCACCATGCTTCAATATTGCTGCAGACATTCATTATTGTACCTCTCTCAAGCTCTTCGGTCTCCTGCTACAGCCAAATATTTCAAATTTTGACTCATCAGTCCAGAGCACCTGGTGCCATTTTTCTGCACCCCAGTTCCTATGTTTTTGTGCATAGTTGAGTCGCTAAGCCTTGTTTCCACATTGGAGGTACGACTTTTTGTCCGCAATTCTTCCATTAAGACCAATACTGACCAGACTTCTCAGGACAGTAGATGGGTATACCTGGGGTCCCACTGGTTTCTGCCAGTTAGGTGCTGAAGGTAAGTAAGCCAAGCACTGCGTCCACGGTCCTCAACGTTGCCCGTATCGTTGTTCTTCTTCCATCTTGAAACCACAGCCTGCTTTGAAATCTTTGCCTAGGAGAGACCTTGGTGATGCAGTATAAACAACCTTGTGTCTTGTTGCTCTGCTCAGTCTTGCCATGGTGTATGACCTGTGACACAAAACTGTTTTCCACAACCTCACCTTAGTCAGACATTTGGCTGTTCCTCGCCCACTTTTTAAGCCTCCAACATAGTGGCTTCTGTTTCAGTTAATGACCATTTCAACCTACATCTGATTAACAAATTATACCAGGCAGGTACTAATCATGAGTCATTCACTTGACTAATTCTACAAAATCCCAGACTTTGTGCAAGTGTAATAATTGATGTTGGTTTAAAGCCAATAAGGGTAGTCAGACCAAATATTGATTTGATTTAGATTTTTCTTCTGTTCACTCACTTAGCATTTTCTAAATTGATAAAAAAAACAACTAAAAAATATATATATTATGAAAGCATTCTTACTTTACAGTGTTTTGTAGTAAAGCAGTGCCAAGATCTTGGTTATAAGCACAGAGGGGTGGGACCTGTGTTCCCCAATATACACCAAGAAAAGGTTTTTACGTTGAGAACAAAAATCTTAGTTTCATTCTCGGCTACTGAGACACACAAGAATGTCTTGACACAGGAAGACGACCAACTTCAGGGTGTCCAAACTGATGGGTGGGCAACACAGCAAACAAATGCTAACAGGCCCAAGAAAACCACAGAGAACTGGGGACTGCCTGCAGTTCAAAGAGCTGCCTTCTGGAATTTATGCCTGAAGCAGGCATCAGATGAAGCCATAACATCCACTTGACAGAACTTTGAAAATGTGCAAATCTGGGAAAATTACTTAATGCAGAAAAGCCAAAGAAGCACTTACAACCCAAGAAAACAATCCTTGTGGCCATAAGCGGAGGTGGTCTGTCTAAGCCACCTAGAGATAGTGGAATGAGAACTTGAGCACCCTTACAGGGACCAAAAGGGAAGGCAAGAAGTGAACCAGTCTTTCTGAAAAAAACTGACAAACACCAACTCTCACAGGCTGAACCAAAACTAGATAATATAAC